CTGTGTACAGGTGTTGGAAATTGACCCCTGGTCCTCTGGAAGAGCAGCCAGTGCTCTTAACTGCTGAGCCATCTCTCCAGCTCTGAGGACTAGGATTATAAGAAGAGAAACACAAAGAGCTAGTTTTGTACTTCTGACCTCAAAGTGGTGTGTGTGTGTGTGTGTGTGTGTGTGTGTGTGTGTGTGTGTGTGCGCGCGCGCGCGCATATGGTCTGGTGTAGAGGCTCTAGAAGAAGCAGGACTTTCAGTCTATCTGTATGAACAAGTAGGTTAAAAAGGGGGTGAGTGGAGAGGAGATATTTAGACTGTCTAGGAGGCAGGGAGGCTGAGGAGGCTCAAAGAAGAGAAGCAAGGGGCCCCTGGTTGCTGCTGGAATATAAGCCTCAGGAAAGGATGAACAAAGGTAAAGGGCAGAGAGCGAGCACTGGACAGGCAGGGCCAAGACAGGCAGGGGAGCTGTGGTGAGCAAGAGCAGTGGCCGTCAAAGGTTGCTTCTGCTGTGTGTGGCTAGCCCTCTCCTTCTCCCAGGTTTGGCTTCCTGAGCGTCTACTTTTGTCCCTAGTCCTGCTTGAGCTACCTTAAGTTGGATTTCTAATTCACTAAACCAATGCATCCTGATGAATGCAAGGAGCACTTTGCAAGTATAATGAACTATTTCCTAGGAGGCCGAACATATGCTCGGAATGCAAATTTTGCATAATTTAAGGGAAATGCGGATCCTACCTGAACTCAGTTGGATACAGTGACCCCAGTTAAAATCCCTCCGCAATGAAACTTTGGTTAATATAGGAAGCTGGATTTGATTATAGAATTGGGGTCACTCAGTCTGACTTCTTCTTTTCTGAGTGCTCAGGGGAACACAGGATGTAGAAATAAGGAGCATTACTGGTGATGCATAACTCTTATCAGAGTAATAAAGAGCATGAGTTGAGCTGTGAGAACAGATATGAACTTTCCCTACAGGGTCTGTGAGTTTTCTGCTATTAAAGAAAAATGGACCAGAAATACACATATATGCCCATCTCAACTGCTGAAACTGACCTTCTGGGACATGTGACTGAGCCAGGAGAGATGATCTGTCCCTTTGCATTGATTTTATTTTGGTTAGCACCATCAAACATGTTTGCCTATGGCCCAAATTCTGGCAAGTGAAACAGGTTTGCCATCTGAGAGCTGTTCTTAGCTTAGCAGATGAACAGCTCTGCTTTTCTTTGGTGTATGTCTAGGGCTCAGTGGTGGAGTGTGTGCTAGGCGAGGGCTCCAGCTTGGGTTTGACCTCCAGTATGGGAAAATAAATCCAGGCCACCGTGCTTTTTGTTTGTTTGTTTGTTTTTCGAGACAGGGTTTATCTGTGTAGTTTTGGTGCCTGTCCTGGAACTCCCTTTGTAGACCAGGCTGGCCTCGAACTCACAGAGATCCGCCTGGCTCTGCCTCCCGAGTGCTGGGATTAAAGGCGTGCGCCACCACTGCCAGGCTCCACCATGCTTTTTATGATCCAGTTTCTTAGTCACATGCTCCTGTGCCATCGTGTGTGTGTGTGTGTGTGTGTGTGTGTGTAAGAGAGAGACAGAGAGACAGAGACAAAGACAGAGAGAGACACACATGTGGTGATATTGTGTTCCCCAATATATTATGCACCCTAATAAACTCATCTGGGGTCAGAGAACAGAACAGTCACTAGAAATAGAGGCCAGTAAGTGGTGACACACACACACCTTTAATCCTAACATTCCGAAGGCAGAGATCCATCTGGATCAATGTGAGTTCAATGTCACACTGGAAATAGCCAGGCATGGTGACACACGACTTTAATCCCAGGAAGTAATGGCAGGAAGCAGAAAGATATAAGGCGTGAGGACCAAGAACTAGAGTCTTGTTAAGCTTTTAGGCTTTTGAGCAGCAGTTGAGCTGAGATCCATTTGGGTGAGGACTCAGAGGCTTCCAGTCTGAGGAAACAGGATCAGCTGAGCAATTGGCGAGGTGAAGTTAGCTGTGGCCTGTTCTGCTTCTCTGATCTTTCAGCGTTCACCCCAAAACCTGGCTCTGGGTTTGTTTTTATTAATAAGACCTTCTAAGATTCGTGCTACACACACCCATACAGAGAGAAAGAGAGACAGAGAGAGGAATGAGAATGTATATGAATGCAGAGGCCAGAGGTTGACATCAGGTCCCTTCCTCAGTTGCTCACCACCTTATTTTTTTGAGAGAGGGTCTCTCACTGAACCTGGAGCTCATCCAGACTGGCAGGCCAGCAAACCCCAGGGACCCCCCTGTATCTGCCTCCCCAGTGTTAAAATTACAGGTGTGCACCACTGAGCTCACACGTGTGCAGCAAGCACCTTTCCCACTTAGCATCTCCCGGGCCCCTCGGCCAGCGTTTCTCTGTTTTGCTGAGTTTATTACAGGCACCAGGCTTCTTAGGAACTGTCGTCCTTGACTGTGCTGTTTCCCGCGGCTCCACAACTTTATTATCCGGTTTATTATTAGTGACTCCAATAAAACAGCCCCTTTCTGGGACTTCACTTTGTCTCTTGCTGCTCCAGCCAAATTCTCCTGGCTGCCCCCAAGGCTTGGCCCCTAAAGCCAAGCTCCACGGGTGGAAAGTCTTGGACACTGGCCTCTCCCCAAAGCCCTCAAACTCAGTTGTGTCCTGATTTCCCACTTCAGCCATAGGACGCTGGTGTGCCAAGTGGCAGGGTACAAAGAGAGCTAAGTGTTTTTTCCATACTTTGGTTTTCATTAGGCACATACATGAGTCCCTGCCTATAATAACAGGTATAATTTATGCCCAGTAACTTCTGCCCCGCCGAAGCCGCAGCTGTTTAGAATGCTGTTCCCGGTGGGCTTTGAGCCATACGCAGGCATACTTCAGCAGAACCCGCAGCTTCTCATCAGCTTCCAGCTTAATGAATAATCACGAGAAAAGTATAGGTGGGCACCTGCCAAGGGGCAGGGCAGGGACCATTCTGGCAAAGTCAAGGCCTCTGTGTTTCCCATTTTTATTTCATGCAAGGCTTCTTGGCTGCTCTTCTTAAGAAAGCAGAAGATGCTAAAGAAATTCCTTCATCTTAGCAAATGACACCTTCTCAGCTTTCCCTCTTGCTTCCTTCTCAGGTCCGAACTTGATTTTCTTCAGGCTCCTACCGCAGGAAGTGAACCCAGATCCAAGTCTCACATTGCCCCATCAGGGTGTTTCTGCTTTAGACTTTCATAGGAGAGGAGTCAGGAAGTCACAGGTAGGGTGGCTTCACAGTCGGGATCTATTATAGTCAAGGCCTTTTCCACAGGAGACCATCAGCTACTGACAGTCCCCAATCCCGCTGTCGTTTCCTCACAATTATGCATTCCACAGACATTTACTAGTGATCAGCCCCATGGCAAACGATGAAACAGATGTGTGGGGGGATGGCACACAGCCGGGGCTTTCAATGCTGAGAGCAAGTGGCCATTCATCTTCACGCCTCACCCCAAGCTCCATGAAGTGATCGTCGAGCGCAGCAGATGATCATGCAAAGCTTGGTGGCATATGTGGAGAGAATGCACACAGCCACCGCAGAACCAGGGTGGGGACTGTCACCAGAAGAGGCTTTCCCCAAGAGTCCAGGTGATGGCCTCTGGACATCAAAGGACACCAGGCAGGGGTGTGGCTGGGGAGCTGCTAGTTACAGACGTGGTTCTGGAGCCATCCCCTCTGAGTCCAAAGCCTGGCGTGGTTTGCTTTCTTCCTGACTTTGGGCAGCTTGTGTGACCATCTCATCCCGTTTCCTCCATACAGCAGACTACAGAGTAGCAGTGTGCTCCCTTTCTATTACCGTACCACGGATCATCACAAAGCCAACAGGTCAAACACCTCCCCTCCCTACATTGTCTCCCAGTTCTGGAGGTTCAAGGCCCGGCTCTGAGTGGATCTGTGACCTGTGTGGGGTCACACAGGGCTGAAGTTAAGGTCCTGACTGAGATGGATTCTTGTTTAGAGGCACTGGGGAGTGTGGCACAATCTCTGTTTCCAGGCTCATTCCTGTTGACAGCAGAATTCATTTCCTGGGGGTGGAGGACCTAATTCTCTATTTTCTTGCTGTTCATCAGCAGGTGTCAACCTAGATTCTGAAAGGTCATTTATATCCCCCGTGAAACAGTCTCCTTTCTCTTGAAGTCAGCAGCAATAGTCAAACTTTCTGGTTCCCCCCTTACCCATAAACTCAAGGGATCTTGATTTAGGGATATGTGATCAGATCAGCCACACCAGACAGTTTCCCTATTCTGGGACATCTTGCAAAATATATTTACAGCAGACACACAATGAAATGGAAATCACGGGCAGCCATCTTGGACTTGTGCTGACCACATGTCTCTACTTCTACAGAACCTGTGAGGCAGGGCCAAGTGAAGAGTGTAGGTGAAGGAACTGGCATGGAACAAGCATGCTTCAGGTAGGAGGATTTACACATGAAAGATCAGTCACTTGAGTTTCCAGGGTAGATGGGAAGATGGTTGAGAAGAAAGAAGATGGCTAGGGACTGGAAATGACGACAGGGCCGGGGGCTCATGACTGGGGAGGGGTCTTCGTTGTGATCTGTTTGGAAACAGGATGTGTCACCTTCCTTGGATAACCGGCATTGGTACTTCCCTGATTTAGTTCTTGGTTGAGGTGAAGGCAGTGAGAGCCAGTGTGCAATGAGAGGGAGCCTGAACTGGCCTTCTGGACTCACTCACTCAGAAACCATCTGCCTGTGGCTGCTGAGCAGCTTGAGGTCTCCGAAACCACCAAGATAATAGCTTTCCCCGAATCAGCCCAGCCAGGCTCTAATTAAGAAGGATGGCAATGAATCCCCACTCCAGTTGCTCACCACATGTAGGCCGTGGCTGGAGAGCATTCCCCAATCCTGGGAGGCCATTTCTCTCTTAGCCTGGCATTGCTGAAAGAATGCTCAGATAAAGACCAAGGTCCTGTTGACTCTGGGAGGAAGGTAAATGCCACTGTCTGTGACTGTGCGCCTGGACTTCGGTACACCCCGAAGGCTGAACTGCTCGTGAGATATGGATATTACAAATGGTCTGGAGTGGTCACGAGGTAAGCCAGAAAGATACAAAGGCACCAAGGCGTGGAAAGAAAGAATGGAGAGATGCTGTTGCTCATTGCACACGGCCGTGGGAGGAGGGAGCTAATCTTTTGAGAATTCTTGGCTAGACCGTTCTTATTTCCAGCAGCACTCTTTTTCTCCTCTCCTGGCCTTTTCTCCCTATTTTCCTCTGTCAGCCCTGATTCTGCATCTTCTCAGAGCTTCCCCCAGAAAAACTTCAGCCAACTTATTCTTCTTGAACAACTGTCATTTTTGAAAAGCTGCCCAGTCTCTTCGCTGCGACTTCTAAAGAGAGACTTTGGACCAGGGTTCCTTTCCGTGACAACAAGGAGGTTGGAGAGGGGAATGGCAGAAGCTCGGGATGGGGGATGACGCGCGCGCGCACACACACACACACACACACACGCACACACACGCTTCTGAGGGATGCTGAGTCTGTGATTGCTGGCCAGTATCACGTTCCTGACATCAGAGGAAGACACATAGGAAGAAAAATGGAGGGATTGGGGATTTAGGTCAGTGGTAGAGCGCTTGCCTAGCAAGCGCGAGGCCCTGGGTTCGGTCCTCAGCTCTGTTAAAAAAAGAAAAAAAGAAAAAGAAAAAAAGAAAAGCGGAGAGCAGAGGACTCACACTTGCATTACAGCTGCTGAAGTTCCCACACAAGGGAAGCAGGACCCTATTTGACCTTGACCACCAAGACCAGAGGATTACAGAAGAACTGACCAAAGATATGTGGGCGAAAGGCCAGGCCAAGCTTTCCAGTTTTGACATGTCTGTGTCTACAGACCAACATCCTCTGGCTGGGTAAGCTGTGGACCATAGAAGAAACTCCAAGATCAGCCATTAAGAATGCCAGGATAGCCCCAAATGTGAACTGTTACCTCAGACCCAGGTAAGCCTTGCCGCCACCATTGCCGATTAAGGACTAACAACAAAAGCGGGATAGTTCTGCGTTGTTAGTTATGGCCTGAAATAGTGAACTTGACACTCCTGCTCCCTGTCCTGTCTTTTTGATATTCCAGACAGGTGCCAGAGGTGTCCTCAAGGCTGATGGAGCCTGGCATTGGCTTGCTCGCTGTGATCAGCCGCTGACAACCTGACAGGATCACTTTCCCTGATTACATTTTAAACTTGGACTGAACCACACTCAGTTGCTTTTCGAATGAGAGAGAGGCAGGCGGCAAGACAAGGAAGACCTGTCATAGAAGGAGGTTTGCCCAGTCTTCAGGATCACAGGACACACAGCGTCGCTTCCACATTTCAACCTAACTAAAACACTGCATCCAATAAATTGTCATCGGGTGAGAATGGAAACATTCGAGATAGTGCACAAACTCCATCTGGTACCGTGTGAAATCGAAGAGGAATGTTCAGGGGTGAGGAGTGGAAGAAGCCATGATGTACCCCCTACTGGAAACTAGCTCCAGTTAGTTGTCAAAAGGCATTTTCTGACCGAATACCATCATTTCTTAGTGTAGTAGTAAAAAAAAAAAAAAAAGGAATCACTGAGGCTATAACATTCTCTTCTAGGCAAGTGATGAAGAATGCTGACTTGGCTATTTTATTGCCTCCACCTTTCCTACTGTGGTAGGTAGTTTGCTGATAGGTTTAGTTTTGGATAGCAATTAATGTTACATAATTACTGGCAGGGAAGCACCACTTATGTATCAGTAGCTTTTAAATGCTAGCAGGGTCATGGCTACAAACTAGGACTTGTCTGTGCAAGACACAAACAATTGGCCAGGTCATTCATTATTTCTCCTTCGGTTGCCCATTCTAAATGCCAGCTTGAGGGAGCTGGATGCTTCCTTGGTCTTGTACCAAGGTTCTCAGGGTTCATTAACACATCCACAGATCCTCATAGTCATCAGGATACAAACTTCAGTAAGGGTTAGTGTTATTACAGTAGAACTTTCGATATGATTACAATCCAATGAGTCTTTTAGGTTCCATGCATTTGGGGAGAGGGTCTAATGTACCCCAGACTGGTCTCAACCTCAATAAGTAGAGGAGATTGGCCTTGAATTTCTGCTTCTCCTAAGGATCAGGATTACAGATGTGCACCAGTACACCCGATTTGTGGGGTTCTGAGAATCGAACTCAGGGCTTCATGAATGCTAGGCAAGCACTCTACCAACTGAGCTATATAACCCAGGGGTTTCCGTTTTTAACACTGGTGTTAACTCGAACACACTTGCTTATTAATACCATCCTGTTGATGTTTACAGCACTCTTCAGGTGGAGGGGATGTGTTTTCTGCCTCTAAGGTCAAAGTTCACCACTATTAGGTGCAGTTGAATTTTTCACATTATCCACAGACCTTGCCTGGCAAACTGCTACTTTTAGTGATCCTCTGAAGACAGACAGCAAGGTCAGCAGCCCCCATTGATCCCTTGTTACATGACCAACATCTCTGGGCAGTAAATTGTGTGTTGACACATATCATTGTTAAAAAGCAAGCTTAAAAACCAATTACTCAGCTTGGCAAGGAAGATTTTTGCTCTTCTCCCAAAATATTTCCATGGAATTTCCTTCAGGACCTAAGTAACATAGGGAAATTGAAGGTGATAGAAACAAGACTAGGCAAACATGCATCTGCATTTACAATAGCAAGCAACTTTGCCCACAGCCTGTAATTCTTAAATCTTCATTTGATGTGTGGATAATTTTTCTAAGGGCAGAATTTCTTAGTTCACTGATTCATGATGCTCCCACATTATTGATGAAATTAAGGTAATATTGAAAGTGACAGCACTGTGAGGCAATCTTAAACTGCCTTTTTATTACACGCAATTAGCAGTAGAATTGAGAACCACTTTCTAATATAAAATCGCCAGCCATAGAGGTTGCAAATGAAATTCACTGTAGTGATTTCAGCTGATAAGTCTCAACTTCTTTCCCTTCATTTGCTGAAGTTCTCTCCCGCCCCCTCCAGTTTTAGCCCTACAGAATAATGAGAAAACAGTTAAATTGGGCTAGCAGCGGGTTTCAACTGAGATTTACTGCGTTCTCATCTTCCCGAGGGACCATAAAACCACCCCTGACATCTCATTCTGAAATCTCTTGTGTTAACAGATGGGTGTGGCATGAAAAGGGAACTCTGGATTCAAGTGACAGACAAGTTCTATACTTTGAAAAAGAGTCCTTAAGAAGGCTTTCTGCCATCAGCTGGGGACCTCCCCAGCAATCGTTACCACGCCATCTCCAACACACTCCTGCAAAACACTCTTAAATTTACCTTAAATATTTTAATATTTCCCTCTAAATTTTACTTTCAGTTTATAAAATTCCTAGAACACACAGTTTCCCTGTCTCTGTCTCTCTCTCTTCCCCCAGAAGCCTCAGCCCAAATCAACACGATAATAAAAGATAATAAACTGCCCTTCAATTCAGAACACTGCCCCCAAACCGACAAGCCACGTTTAATGAGCAACAGGGATTGACCATGTCAGAGAGCTGAGAGTTTAACTCTCGCTCCAGCTGACCTCTTTGGCCTCCAACCCCGGGCAGAGGGAGAAAGACAGGGGAAAAACTAGGTCTTTGGGGATTTGGCATAGCTTTGTGCAAAGTGCTCAAGGTTTGACCAAAGAGCAAAGGTGAGTGCTGAACTCGAACCTCATTCTGGAAAGCAAAGGCCTAACACAGCTGTCTACATCTGGACCATGAGAAGGGCTTGAGAAGGCACTGGGACCAGGAAAGCAACTGGATAGAGAACCGGAGAACTCAAGGGGAGTGGCTGGGAGCATTTCTTTGCTCTTGCAAAGAAATTATTTCTCACACTGAGATCTTACTCCAGGGCTGATGTCTGAAGTCTGCAACAGCTGGTGAGGGTCCAGATGGGGAAAGAAGCCCAATGCCAGGCTGTGAGGGCAGGGTGAAGCCCCCGCAGCCCAGAGAGGGAGTGGATGTGGGTAGCCAGCGCCTGGAGAGTCCAGGCTAGGGAGCTGGGCGCCCAGGGTCCCCTGGCACGGTCCTCACCTGTTCCAGCGGGCCACCTTCCTCCGGTAATACCGCAGCGCCTCCTGGCTGGCCAAGAGCCAGTCTTCGGGCCCCAGAAGAGGCGGCTCCTCCAGGACTTGGTAGAGCGAGTGGGCGAACAGGGCCTGCAGCTTGGAGCGCGGACCAGGGTGGCCGCGGCTGGGATGCTCAGCCCCCGGCCGGGCTTGGGAAAAGTTGTGCGCGGCGGTGCCAGGGTCCCGGGAGGCTGCGGCCAAGTGCAGAGACTCGGAGGGGGCGCGGCCGGAGCACGGGCAGCCCTCAGGGCTCTCGCGGGGCCGTAGCTGGCGCTGCACTTGCGGCCAGAGGTGGAAGTAGAGGTCGGCGGAGAAGAGCGCGCCCAGGAGCAGCAGGGCCAGCAGGCGGTCCCTGCGCAGCCCGGGCATGGCCCAAGCGGAGACCCGGGAAACACTTAGGGTGCAGACGGAAGAAGCTCCAGGAGTCCCGAAGGGGCTGGAATGTTCTCTGCGGGGGGGATTAGCTCCTTCTGGAAAGGTGTCGCCCCTAAACTTGGGGGACCGCGTGCAGGAAGCTCACAATGTTGACAGCGCCGCCTTTTCTCGCCCAGTAGAGACGCGGGGTTGGGGTTCCCTGGATACCCGTTTCTCGAGCCTTCTTTGCCCCGTGTTCCCCCCGCCCCGGGCCCGCGCAGGTGGAGGTCCCCGAGGCACGGGTGCAGGCTCTGGTGGCCGGTGGCCGGGTAGGGGTGATCACTAGGAGTGCAAGGGAGCTCTCTCCCCTAGGAGGAGGCTGGAGGCTACGTAGCCCCGGGTGTCTCTCCCAAGGATGCTGTCGCTCTGCAGCGGCTCCTCCTGCAGGCGACAGGGACTCCCCTGGTCCGGGTTGGCAGGAGGGGAGGGAATGGAGAGTTGACGAAGCAGGGACGCCCCGGGGCGAGCTTGTCTCTGCGCCTGGACTCCTAGAGGCAGAGGTAACGCCTGGCCTCCCCCCTGCCTGGCCTGGCCTGGCGCCGGCACCTCCGCCCACTCTCAGCTGGCACCTGCCTCTGGCGTAGCTTGCCAGCCAAACTCCCAATCCCTCTGCCGCCGGCTCTGCCGCTCCACCTTGTCATCAACCCTCTTCTCCTCCCCCCTTCCCTCCTCTTTGCTCCAGGCCTCCTACTTTCCCTGCTGGGGCTCTTCATAGATATTCTGGTGGACTCAAGTGAGGTGGGCTGGAGCCTTTTATTTCCATTTTTAGTTTTTAGGGTGAAAAAAAAAAAAAAGACAATGCAAACCCTTAAAAGCCTTTCTCCTGTAAGCTTTGCCAGATGTGTGTATGGGGGTTTGGATCTCATCTCTCAGCATGCTCCCTGCAGGGCATAAACATAAACAATCACGTGCCCAGAGCAAAGCAGGCACTTGCTCTGGACACATCCACTTTGTGCACAAAGAACTTGCCCTTTAAAACTAAGGCTTTTTTTTTTTTTTTTTTTTTTTTTAATACCTAGAACCTGGGTGATTTCCTGTTTGGATGGAGTTTGACTCCAAATCTGCCAGTACTTTGAAAAGAGGAAATGGTAGGGAGGGAGGGGCCCCAGATGACCCCACTCCGAACTCTTGCTTGAATGTAGCTTGGTGTGAAAGTAGTCCACCCGAATGAATCACTGGAGGGCCCGCTTACTTAGGTTTTCTCCAGATACCCTGTGAGGTCATTTACACTTCTCCACCCGTGGTCCTTCCTTCTGAGGAGCCCGGTGGGGGTAGGGAGGTGGGGCCGCCCTGAAATCCTGGCTCTCTCTGTTTTAGAATCTGGGAGTACAGTAAAATGCGAGTCTGCCTGGGGAGGTAGCCCCACCCTGGAGAATGTTCAAGAAAAGGCATCCTTTCTGCCAGCTGTTGCCTGTCTGGGCAGCAAAGCGCCTATGTATGCTAATTTTATTGGTTAAGGATCTCCAGTCTCTTGCTGGAGTCTCCATCCTGAGACGCGCTATGGAGCTTGTGGATTCATTCACAATGGCGTTTTCCCTGCCATTAGTCAGATATTTTTGTGGCCTCTGCTGTCTTCTTACCTTCAGGTGTGTGTGTGTGTGTGTGTGTGTGTGTGTGTGTGTGTGTGTGTGTGTGTGTGTGTGTGTGTGTGTATGTGTATACGCGCGTGTGTTCGCGCGTGTGTGGAGGCCAGAGGTCGACCTTGATTGTCGTTCTTCAGGAGCTGTCCACACTGATGTTTTTAAGATAAGTTCTTCCACTGGGACCGATGCTCATGAATTAGACTAGATTGGCTGGTCAGGGAACCCTAGAGATCATCCAGTCTCTGCCTCCCCAGAGCTGGGATTGTAAACCTATGCCACCCCACTAGCTTGGGTTTTTATGTGGATATTGGAGACTGTACACAGGGCCTTATGTTTGCATGGCAAGAAGTCCACTAATTGAGTTATTGCCTCAGCATCCTGTAAATGAAAGTTTTCCCCATGAGGTCATTCTGAGGCCTAAAATGAGTTCAAGTATATAGACTGCTTAGAATATTCCCTAACCCATGCTAGATAACTAGGAAATGTGTCAGCTGTAATGACTACTTCTTGTTTCTTGTAATGCACTAGGTTAGGTTGGAGACTATTTATGATTTGAGGAAAAAAAAAAACTCAGAAAAATTTGGAAACACAAAACACCAGGAAAGAACTAGATTTCTTAAGGCCGAGCCCAAGTCAGAAACCTCAAGACACATCGTTCCCAGCCTATTCACATGGATGTGACCCGTAAGCCTCAGAGAGGCCTGTGGGACGTTGACATTTTTATGTAGAGTTAAATTTTAGCAGGTGGTCCGTTTCTGAGAAAATCTGCAACTTTTGTTGTGTCTAATTAGGCATCATGGCCAGTAGATTAAAAAGCCAGGTAGTGAATGACGGTGCAGTATCTTCGATAATAAGCTGGTTGCATGTTTTCAGACTGGCAAAGACACCATAAGCCTTATGACTTTGATTCTCCCCAGCCAATGGGGTCACACTTCCTCAGCAGACATTTTCATCTGGCCCCAGTATAGGAAGTGCTATTTCTGACTTGCTTGAAGATTATCTAAAATAAAGGTCAAGGGCAATACTGTGCGTAGAGGTCAGAGAGGAAGTGAGAGTGAAGCTAGGACAGTAGTCTGCATGTAGGACTGGTCATCTAGCTGCTATTTTCAAGGTATTCCCCAAATCTCTTTCTTTTTCAAATGGGAGTTCTCCTCCTCTGCTTCTTCATGTCTGAGCTCCCAGGTTTCCTGACCAGCCTCAGCTACATAGTCTCAATTAGTGCTGAAGCTGTTCTAAATGGTTTTCCAGGACTTGCCGTTCTCTTCAGCTTCCCACCAGAAACCCATCTCCCCCATTCCATCTCTGCTGCTCTTGGATGCATCCAGAGCTTCATAAATTTGTCGATTTGTAGACAAGCAAGTCTTGCTTCTTGGCTTTCAGTAAGGCTCCATTTCAGTGCTCACCCATGCTCACCAGAACAGAATTCTAGCATGTAGATACAACCAGGGTATGACGTACCTTAGCTTCCTCATGCCCTGAGATCAGGCCATCCATTGTGACACAGCTCTTCATGTCCTGGCTTCTAACTTCCTTTCCAGTCTCGTTTCTAAATAACTCCCCTCTCTAGTCTTCACAACATAACGGTCTTTGCAGTTCTTCAAGTGCTTTGCGTTCCTAGAGATACTCTTCAACAAATGATCTTTCTTTCTCCCTTCTCAACTTGAAGAACATCCATGTATCCATTTTCTGCTGAAGCTTTGGCCATGTGTCCCTTGTCCCCTGATGCGTTCCCTTGTGACCATTTAACTCAGTGCTATCAGCTTTTAAGTGCCACGCCCTCCCCCCAGCTCTTCGTATAGTTCTGTGCTTTCACATTGCCCATGTTGTATTTCATTGTTTATGTGTGTTTGGAGTTGAAATGTGCCCCCTTCTCAGATTGGTATGCTGAAAACTTAACGTCCAATATCTCACAGTGTGACCATATTTGGAAACCAGGTCATTGCAGGGATAGTTGAGTCAACCTGGAGTAGAGTGCATCCTTAAGGGGAAGTGTGGGTGGGGAAGATGTGCAAATCTGGACAGAATTAGGTAAAGATGAACATAGAAATTGGGACAGTGCAACTACAAGACAAAGCGTCATGAAAATTGCCAGCAAACCCCCCAAACTAGGCAAGAGGCATCGAGCAGAAACCTCAGAAGAGACCAACTCTGCCCATGCCTTGAACATGGACTTCTAGCCCCTAGAACTGTGAGCTAATACATTTCTGTTGTTTGAGCGAGCCGCTTTGCCATGCCTTGTTATAGCCGCTCCTGCAGGCTAATGCGGTGTGCATGTCCATTCCCCTCACGGAGCACCACCCTGGGCACAAAGGAAGCAGAGGACTTATTAACAGACACAGATCTCTAGGTAAACAGACTTCCATTTGAGGGAATGCATGCTGAATGAGGAACAGGCATCCTGGAAATCTCTGCCATTATGGCATTTCACACAGGGCCGAGAGCACCATAGGGGATTAACCATTGGTGATGATAAAATGACATCATTTTGAACCCTGTAGGAGACCCAGAAGAAATATTGACACAGTTACTTCCTGCCTTCAAGCATCTCTTATGATCATTAGAGAGACAGATCCATCTGTACCTACAGGCCAACTAAGAAAAAGAGAGAGGAGCCGGGCGGTGGTGGCGCACGCCTTTAATCCCAGCACTCGGGAGGCAGAGCCAGGCGGATCTCTGTGAGTTCGAGGCCAGCCTGGGCTACCAAGTGAGCTCCAGGAAAGGCGCAAAGCTACACAGAGAAACCCTGTCTCGAAAAACCAAAAAAAAAAAAAAAAAAAAAGAAAAAAAGAAAAAGAGAGAGGCCATGCACAAAGCAGATTAGGGAATCTGTACCACTACATGCCTCATCTGGAGCAAACGCAAGGCGCACCTGTGTTCCCCTTCGGTTTTGTGAAATAGTGTGTCCTCTCTCCTTCCAGGAATTAAATCATGAAGAGAACAGAGGCAGTATTTAAATACAGAAGCTCTTCATCTGTGAAGTTTGTACTCTTTTTTTCCCTCTCTTTACCACACACACGGTTCACACATTGCTTAAAACATTATTTCTTATTTGTATGGATGGTTTTCTATGCTAAGCCAGAACTTCATGACATGTGGGTTTTTTTGTCGTCCCCCCCCCCACCATCTTTCTGGTCTTCACAGGATATCATATACAGTAAGGCCTATGGATGAAAACTAATACACCTTTTTAAAGAATATAGTGTGTGTGTGTGTGTGTGTGTGTGTGTGTGTGTGTGTGTGTGTATGTGTGTGTGATTGTGTAGTCACATGTGGAATGGGTAGGGGGTGATATGGGTTTTTATTTATTGGAGGTCTGAAGAGATCACTGAGCAGTTAAGAGAAATAGTTGCTCTTGTAGAGGATCTGGGTTTGATTTCCAGCACCCATATCAGGTGGCCTATAACTGCCTGTAACTTCAGTTCCAGGAGATCTGACTCCCTCTTCAGGTGTCTGTGGGCATGGCCTGTATACATACACACAGGCAAAACACTTGATATAAAATAAATAGATCTTTAAAATAATTTGTAGCTATAAAATTCAGCCCCAGATTTCAAGCAGTTATGTTGAAATAGAGGCCTATTATCTTAATCTTAACGGCTCTATCTAAGAAGTGGGTGAGAGCCTTTAGGGAGACAAGCATCCATGTCCCCGTGATTTTATTACACAGCAGGCATATGTGAGGGCAGTGCTGCTGCCTACCTGCCAGGCTTCTCGGCCGTCAGTGAGAGGAGGGAGGCATTTGAAATGATCTTGCATGGTAAAACCAGAATGGAGTGAGACTGAGTTAGTATGTACCAGATCCAGACAGTCTAGAATTCCCTTCTCCTTTTCTTGTGTGTGTTGGGGTGTGAACCTAGGTCCTCACACATGCTAAGCAAGCACTCTAACACTGAGTATATTTCTAGCTTCCCTTTATTTTTTTATTATCAGACAAGTGCCCTGTAAGTTGTAGGCTGGACCTGAACTCACTCTGTAGTCTGGTAGTCCTTGTTATCCTCTTACCCTAGTCTGTGTAGTAGCTGGACCACCTGGCCTCCCTTTTATTTTGAGTTTGAAACTCCAGATAGAATTTTCTACACATAACTGAGACACAGAGCCTCAAAATAGACAGAAGGTTTCTCTTCAGTGCATGATACGTGTCGGAAATACCTGGTGTGTTTATAAAAATGAGAATTCCAGGCTGTGCCCTGGATTTGGATGGATTAGGATGTTTGGAAGTGGGTTGGGGCTGGGGAGTCACCTCAGTGGACAAAGCGCTTGTGACTCAAGCCTGAGGAGCTGCACTTGGATCCCCAGAACCAGCAGGAAACTGCACACATGGGAGATAGGAAACGGAGACCAGAGGGGATCCAGAAGCTTGCACTCCAGCTAGACTGGGGTCTGTATCGGGAGCGATGAGGAACCCTGTCTCAAGGTGCACACTGAGGACCAATACCTGAGGTTGCCCTCTGAACTCTACATGCATGCCATGGACCATGCATGTCTGCACTCACTCAAACATGCAGGCATGCACAAACACACACGCACACACAGACCGACAGGGACAGACAGACAGACAGACAGACAGACAGACACACACACACACACACACACACACACACACACACACACACAGAGAGAGAGAGAGAGAGAGAGAGAGAGAGAGAGAGAGAGAGAGAGAGAGAGAGAGAGAGAGAGGAGATATACACACATGCACAAGAATGTTTGGAAAGGGGCAAGCGGTGGTGGCGGCGCTCGCCTTTAATCCTTGCACTCGGGAGGCAGAGACAGGTGGATCTCTGTGAGTTCAAGGCCAGCCTGGTCTACAGAGCAAGATCCAGAACAGGCACCAAAACTACAGGGAGAATCTCTGTCTTGAAAAAAAAAAGAATAAAAAGAATGTTTGGAAAAGGGGATGAGCTGGGGATGGGAATGTGTATTTTCAATAAGCCTATTTTAATTTTAAAATATTTATTTATCTTATGTGTATGGGTGTTTTGCCTGCATGTATGTCTGTGCACCACATGTGTGCCTGGTGCTCTCAGAGTCCAGAAGGCATTGGATCCTTTGGGATTTGAGTTATAGAAGATGACTGTGAGCTACCATGTGGGTGCTGAGAATCAAGCCTGAGTCCTCTGGAGGAACAGCCAGTGCTCTGTAACTACTGAGCCCCCCAGCCCCCAGCCCCCAAGCCTAGCCTATTTTTAGAGGCTTGTAAGAATCAGACAAACAATAAAGTCTGGGAATCACTGGCTGGGAAGACAGTGCTAATGGTGGCAGAGACAGAGATTTGATCCCAGGTGTCCAGCGAGGCTGTACTGTCCAGTGCTGCTCATTGCCATTGTGATTAGGACATCCTAAGGAGCTAAAGAAAGTGTGTTTGCTCAGCACAAGCCATTACTACTGCTTGGGAACACAAATGTCAAAACAGCTTTAGCCTGCTGCTCTCTACAAATGGTGGGTATGTAGTATGATTTTGCTATTAAAAAGTCATGGCACTAATCAATACAGCTTCTTTAGGGAACTGCACTGTCTTTTCTGGGCCTCATTTTCTACATTGAAAACTATGGAACACCGAAGCTCATGATCTCAAAAGCCCCTTCAGTTCTCAAAAGAGATAATTTTACATTTTTACTAATAAGCAAGTAAGAGTCTGTTTTTGCATAAATTTATTCCCAAATCAAGCCCAATAATTGAAATAACAAGTCAGGCCATTATATAGAGGGGCAGAGTACAGGCTTGGGAGCGAGGGAGTTAGCCCACGGTCCGGGCTCAGCCATTAACGATCATGATGGCACGGGTTAGAGTTATTTAATGCCTCTGGGCTTTGCTTCACATGCAAATGAGTATTTTGAGCTAGACAATTTCAAAGTTCCCTTCCAGCATTAATTTCTTTCAGGAATGAAGATGAAATAAGGACATTCTCAGAAGAAAAAAAATAGAGTGAAGAGAGTTTAGCCCTTGTAAATGTTAAAGGGGATTTTCAGAAGACAAATACTTCCAGAAGGAAGCCCAGAACATCAAGGATGAAGGAAGAACAGAGAAACGGTAAATATCTAAGTAAAGGTAATAGATTATTTTTTTTCTTAAGCTCTTAAAAACATGTGGTGTGATGGTTGGCTTTAATTGTCAGCTTGATACAACCCAGAACCATCTGGAGGATAGTCTTAATGAGGGATTGTCTATACTGGGTTGGATTGTGAGCATGTCTGTGGGGGATTGCTTGAATTAAGTAAATTAATTAAAATAAATCTAAAAGCAAGGCCAGGTATCGTGGTGCCTGCTTGTAATTTAGTACCCTGGAAAGAGACAGGAAGATCTTTGAAATTCACTGGCCAGTGACTCCAGGCCAACAAGAGATCCTGTCTCAAAGGAGGTAGAAGGTGTATATCCTTGGGAATGATACTGGAGGCTGTCCTCTGACTTCCACATGTACACTCATATACATGCGTGCCCACCTGTATACATGTGCCCTCAAACACACACACACACATACACACGCACGCATGCACGCACGCATGCACGTACACACACACACACAAAACAAACCCTAGCATTGAATGTTTAAAAGAATCTCTCTATGCAGAACAGCACATACCTACAATCCCAGCACTCTGAAGGTAAAAGCAGGCAGACACCCTGGAATCTACAATGAGAACACATGTGATAGAATATGACTTAGTAAGATGAAGGACATCACATTGAGACACACAGTAGCAGGACAGATCTGAATGGCATTGTGCTGAGTGAGAGATTCCAGTCTCAAAACGTTTGTATGCTGTTTGGCTACAGTTACATGATGTCCAAGAAATGGACAACAACAACAGCAACTAAGAACTATGGCATTGCCATTGTTAGATTGTATCATTGGTTGCCAGGTAATGGGGTGACAAAAGTTGGACTATAAACTAGTAGTGTTAGGTAACTGAGTGATAGAACTGTTCTACATCTTAATGACCATAGGAATTCACATGTTTAAAAATAACAGGCACACACATTAAAAAAATGAAGTCAACATTATTGGTTATTTACCCAGTTAGTGTTGTCAACTTGACAGAGCCTGGAATCATGTGAAAAGTGTCTCAACTGAGTAATTGTCTTTGTAAGATTGGTCTGTGGGCATGCATGTGAGGGATTGTCTTCATGGTTAACTGATGTAGGAAGGCCCAGTTCACTGTGGGTGGCACCATTCCCTGGGCAGGTGCCCTTGGGCTGTGTAAGCAAATGAAGGGTGAGCTCTGATCTTTCATCCTCTTAAACATGAACCAGACAGTAAGTCAACAGGCACTACTTCTGCAGGGTTCTTGTCCCCAGGCTCCTGCCTTGAATTTCCACTCTGACTTTTCCTCAGTGATGTGCTGTGACCTGGAAGTATAAACCGAATAAGTCTTTTCATCCTTAAGTTGCTTTTGGTCAAAATATTTTCATCACAATAACAGAATAAAACCGGTACCATTATATTAATCAAATAGCTACAAGTTAAAAACCAAATGGAATTTTAAAAAAAGGCTGTATGTGTTTCATTCAAAAATTTTTTTTCATGTTGTATGGCTTATAGTAGCAAAGAATTTAAATAAAAAGTAAATATTCATCTATAGGAGCATAAGTTAATAAGCTGTGACATGGCCACACAGTGGGAAACAGCAGCTAGGGTGGAGGAATATAACTACATATTTTTGATATTGATGCATCCTCAGGTTGTATAAAGATGGAACGATTCACAATGTGTGCAGGAGTGGTGTAACTGTTGAAATACGTTTTGAAATTGGAAAAGTAATTCTTGATATTAAGAAATAAATACATATGTAGTAAAATAATAAAAAACATGGATGAGAATGATGACTTCTGTCTTAGTTTGGGTGAATTTAACAAATGTATCACTGGCTGGGTGGCTTAAACAGTGGCAAATTCTTGCAAGTCCAAGACGAAGGTGTTGGCAGGTCCGGTGTCAAGTGAGGACTGTTCCTGATCTTCAGATGGACATCTCATTGTAGCAGCACATGATAGAGGGGGTTAGCTCTGACCTCTTATCCTCCTATAATTCACTAATCACATTCATCAGTGCTCCATCTCCACGCCTCCATGATGTCCCAAATACCTCATCTTCCATTGCCCTCTTTGGGGGTTTTGACCTTGACTTATGAATTGGAATGGAATACATTCAGTTCATAGCAAGGGCCAAATTCAGCATGCATTGCCCTGTGTGACTGAAGTGAGAGACAGGGATTGTCAGGAGTTCTGAAGTGCTGACATCTGACAGAGTTGAATGGCTATTCATGGCTATTGCTCATATCGTTCTCTACATTTGTCAGTATATTTATCATATTTCATTAAGAAGCTTGACTTTGGATGGGGAGGTAGCTGTGTTGGGAGAGTGCTTGCCTAGCATGCACAGGTCCCTGGGTTAAATCCCCAGAGCCATATAAAGCTGGCCATGGTGGCACAGGCATGTAACCCTAGCATTCCTAAGGAGGAGGCACAAGGATCAGAAGTTTAAGGTTATCTTTGGCTATGTAGCAAGTTTGAGGCCAACTTGGGCTACCTGAGACCATGACTCAAAAAAATTCAAAAAGCTTGATGTGATTTATTCCATGACATTATATCCTGGGCTATTTTAGTTTTTTTTAAAACTTTAAATTAATTTTCTTTTTTACATAGGGTTTCACTCTGTAACCCTGGCTGGTCTTGGTCTTGAACTCACTATGTAGACTAGGCTGGTTTCAGACTCACAGAGATCTGCTGCCTCTGCCTCCTGAGTGCTGGGATTAAAGGCATGCACCATCATACATAGCTAAATTAATTTTTAATGGGCACATAAAGCCACAAAGTGTGCATTTTATGGGATGCCATGTGATTTTTGGATGCATATAAACATTGTGTAACATTTAAATCAGGTCAAACACCTCTACCTTCTCAAATATTTACCCTATTTTAGTTTATTAAATGGATATCTTCAACAGTGTTGGGTTTTAACGGTAAGGTGAAACAAGGTTAATAAAAGTCAAACATTTACTCCATTTCCTGAGAAGATGTACAACAGAGGGAAAAGCCTGCAAGCAGGAACACTTTTGACCTAAAGCAATTGTCTGAGAAGAAATCCACAGACCCTTGCATAGTAGACTACTTCCAGACCTGGTGATTCTGAGCTGCACCCATGCACTTGTTAGGCGAGCTTCAGGTGCCTGGGTGATCCACATTGTGTCTCACTGTCCTACTTAAACAGCACATTCAACCCACGAAACAGGAATGGATATTCTGGCTCAAAGTTCAGTCCAGAGCGCCAACACGGCTAAAACAAACAGACAGCACTCCAAAGAACTTTGACAATTAACATAGGCTTTCACAAAATAACTCCTGAGGGGGTGGAGAAGTGAGAATTATGTTACTGAGGTATGCCACACACCTTTATAAAAGTTTTCATTACAGCCGGGCGATGGTGGCGCATGCCTTTAATCCCAGCACTCGGGAGGCAGAGCCAGGCGGATCTCTGTGAGTTCGAGGCCAGCCTGGGCTACCAAGTGAGTTTCAGGAAAGGCGCAAAGCTACACAGAGAAACCCTGTCTCGAAAAACCAAAAAAAAAAAAAAAAAAAAAAGCTTTCATTACATTAATTAATTAATTTGCCATAGTGCTTGTGCGTGTGTAGGGGTTGGGGGAGGGCATCTTATGGGATGTTAGTTAGTTCTATCACTGTATGAGTCCAGAGCTTTGAACTCAGGTTGTCAGGCTTGACAGCAAGTGCTGTATCCACTGAGCCATGACGCCAGCCCTGCAGCATGTTTCTAAACAGCCTTAAGTCTGTCTCTTTGCAAAGGCTTCATGGTCTCTTTTCCCCTCCCTTCCTCCCGTGATCCCGTATATTCCCCCCCAGGCTGCTTCCTCCTGTGATCCTGTATATCCCCCACCATGCTGCTTCCTCCTGTGATCCCGTATATTCCTCCCCCCAAGGCTGCTTCCTCCTGTGATCCCATATATTTCCCCCCCAGGCTGCTTCCTCCTGTGATCCTGTATATTCCCCCACCATGATGCTTCCTCCCCCCAGTCCTGTCCCAGTGACATGGAGGGTGATCCTCTCTGCCCCCACCCCCCTTGCCATTTTCATTTCCATTCCCCACACAGTCAGCTCAACAGTTTTCTATTGGCTGTGTAATTAAAGGGTTCTTTTTTTCCCCAGAAGAAAAACTTCATACATGTAGAATGTGATGGTGTACCATTTAGAATAGTAAACTGTGAAGTTGGCTATATTAAGTTAATTGGATTCTGTCAAATCATGATTCAGAAGATTACTAAGAGTAACTGGGATGAAAGAGATGACATCATCTTAACTCTCATACTTCATTTGTTTATCTTTGATTTTTGAGACAGGGTCTCACTAGGTAATTCACATTATAGACCAGGATGCCCTTAAATTCACAGAAACCCATCTACTTCTGCCTCCCAAGTGCCAGGATTAAAGGCATGCACTACTCCTGGCCAACTTTCATAGTTTAAAATATATTTAAGAAACCAATGATCATCTCACCTCTTTCAATGGTGGTTTTATTTTCAATTTGGAAGCAAAGACGGAAAGTTAAAAGATTATTTGTCAGTTTAGGAAGAGACAGATGACTGTAGCCCTAGTCTGTGCTGAATTATCTACGTCTCTTCCTCTCTGGGTTAGACTGAGCCCTCATTTTCAAATGTACCCAATGGCTCCCTCTATCTCTCCCCAGACATATGGTGATCACACCATGAATGAAAATCTGGACTTGGACTTCACCTCAATAAGATGTTTCATTGAGACATGCTGCTAAAACAAAACAAAACAGCAACAAACCAAACGAACCACCCAACTAACCAACCAACCAAAACAAAACCCTGCGACCTTCATCTGAGAAAACTCTAGCAGATACACAGGCTGAGCTCCCACTGCCCTTTGGGGTTCTAGAGGGATGAGACATAGAGCCCCATTGGAGCTTGAGATGTTTCTTTCTGGATGCGCCATTTCTAAAGACAATTCGTCAGTCCTCCCAAGAAAGGTGGCTTATCCTCCTTTGTGTTGCCATTCCGAAATAACAGAGGCTGAGTATGTCATAAAAGGGGAAGGGGACGGTGCTTATTTTAGTTCAAGGCTCTGTCTAATGTCAGTGAACTCATCTAATCAGCTACTGGTAGGACACCAGAAGAAAAGAGAAGTGGTCACGTGGTAAGCGCGGATGAAGAGGGGAAGCTAAGGATGCTGAACTTACATTGGACAATTGGCTCTTCCCATGACTAATCCTGTACTGTGAGTCCTAATCCAGGCTGGAAAGAACTAACCCAGTCTCTCAAGGAGAATATTGATCCATTCATGATGTAGGATCTCCATGGCCCCAGAAGGTCTTCGGGGTCCCGCCTCCTCAGTCTAACACTAGGAAGTTGTCTCAAAGTGAATTAGGGTGATGATGGCACCCAGCAGCAGCTCCGATGACAGCGACAGGGAGCAGTCAGAGCAGCAAGAGTAGCTCATTGTCATGACATGTTTATTTTTTATTCTACAAATAACACCTGAATATTTTCTCTTTGTAGAATATTTGAGTGACATATACTATTTTATAATAACAATTGGGTCTCCCTTCCTTCCCTCTCTGTCTCTTGAATTGTTGCGGAATAATCTTTTTGTACACCGTGAAGACGTGTCACTCTGATTGGTTTAATAAAAAGCTGAACAGTCAATAGCTAGGCAGGCTTTTGGGGACACAGAAGACGCTGGGAAGAAAAAGGATGGAGATGCTAGGAGATGCAGAGCAGGCAGGATTGGGCACTATGGAGATGAGGTAGTAAAGCCACGAGGCAGAAAATAAATTAATAGAAATGTGTTAATTTAAGTTATAAGAGCTAGTTAGAAATAAGCCTAAGCTATTGGCCAAGATTTCATAATTAATAAGTTTCCAGGTCATTATTGGGGAGCCGATGGTCCCAATCAAAAAGGCTGACTACATTATTTCACACTTTCTTTCCTAGAAGTAATTATTTCAATGTGCCATATATTCAGCTTTCCCCATTTCTAATGAATCAGAGAAATTAGATAAAAGCAATGCATAAAGGATCATTTTCCCCTTACATTTTCATTATAAAAAAGAATGAAATTGGTTAGGATTGGGGAGAATGAAGTTAATGATATTTGATAATATCCAGTTAGGACTTGGAAAGCTCACCAAGTATTTCAAAGGGAAATTTTAGGAGATATAATTGTTATCTAATAAGAATGATGAGGGGATGCAGAAAGAGCAGGTAGGGAGAGGGGCTAGGGAGATTTTCTCACAGTCAGCCCAAGACTGAAATGTAGACAGTGGACTTACCATTGAGCACTAAACTCTGGATGAGAAAGACACTTTCCAGAAAGCAGATCATGTCAATCCATAGATGGAATGAAAAGACAGAGCTTGATGCTTTGACCTAAACTCTGCACAGACATACGTGAAGGCAAAACACCCATACACACAAATAAAAATAAACCTTCTTTAAAAAAAAGAAAAGAAAAAAACCAAGACCTGATTAAGGAAAATAGTGGTTTACATACAAGGTATATGTATACTTATTGTTTGTCAAAATTGTGTACTTATCTATTTATTTTTAAATAGTTATTTTATTTTCTGTGTATGTATGTGCCTCAGTGTGTGTCTGTACACCACCACATACATGCGTTGGATCCCCTGGAACTAGAGTTACAGATGGCTGTGAGCTGCCATGTGGGTTCTGGGAATCAAACCTGAGTCTTCTGCAAGAGCAGTTAGTGTTCTTAATTACTTAATCACTCCAGCTTCACAGTTGATTTTACTAGATGGAAATGTGTTAATATGAAACAATTATATTATGACCCATTAAGGCATGTTTCTATGTCTATGTCTGCGTAAAGTTTGATGCTTTACTGGCTCATACGTACATGACCTTGGCTTCCTAGGGCTGCCGCAATATCTTTCTCTAGAGCTGCCACAACAACAGAAATTACTTGTCCTGCATCCCTGGACACCAGGAGTTGACCCAAGCCATGCTTCCTCTGAAGGCTTGAGAGGCGAGTCTGCCCTTGCCTCTTCCAGTTTTCGAAGGCTCCAGACATTCTTTGGCTTGTGGCAAAATCACAGCCACGTCAGCTTCTGTCTTCGTGTGCCCTTATCCTCCACCTACTGTCCCCCACCCACTTATAAGAATCTTTGTCATTGAGTTTAGGACTTGACAGATAATCCAGAATTATGTCATTTTGAGATCTTTAGCAGGATGATTTTTGCTTTTACACAAGTCTTTTGTTCCCAAATAAAGTTATAACTACTTGTTCCAAGTGGACTTGCCTTTTGAATGGTATGGTTAGGGGTGGGTAGCATTTAACCTACTGGTTATGTAGTAAATGTATAACAACATTTCAGGGGGTTCTTTTTCTTTTTTCTCAAGGCAGGTTTGTGCAGCCCTGGCTGTCCTGGAACTCACTCTGTAGACCAGGCTGGCTTCAAACTCAGAGATCTGCCTGCCTCTGATGCCTGGGTGCTTAATCCCAGCACTCAGAGGTTTCTTTAGGTGGTAGGATTTGTGAACAATCAGTTTTATTTTTTTCTGGTTTTGGGCTATCAGTATTTTTATGACTTTTATCCAAAGATCTCTGTGCTACCTTTGGAGGTTAAAAAAGAAAAAAAAAAAAACGCAACAAGAGTCAGTATTTGACACACAAACATGGAAAACCATACAGGGCAAATGACGCTGTGGTTCACACGACTGAAGTAATCGTATTGTTTTGAGAGGGAGGCAGTAGAGGGAAGTTAAGAAGTGCAGGGAGAAGGGTGAAGTCACATAGAAACTGAATCCATTTATGCGCTACAATGAATACAGGGCACCCCAACAAGAGAGCTGACACAGGAAGCTGGCAGCCACAAGCTTAGCCTTGTGGGTATCTTTGAATCGTAGCACACTCTGATGCTCTGCATACTTGCCGTATACAGCAGACGATCAGTTTGGTTTCTCCCTACATCACTTTTGCTTAATGTGGAATTCTCTCTTTAGCCATGATTCATTGATAAATTCTTAGAAGATTGGTCATACTATTAAAAATAGGAAGATCCATGATGTCAAGAGATCTAAGGCTGGAAGGCATTTAAAAGGTTGTCATCTTGTTTTTAGAGATGTAATTTTCTAAAAGGGAAGAGAGGAATATGTAATCATTTTCCAAGTTAGGGAATAATTACTTTAAAAAGTTTCTCTTAAAGTTATAGCTGTTTGATTTCCGTTTTTTGACCATGGATCTTTTTATTATTGTTGTTATTATCCTAAAGCTTGAACCTATAGTCTAAAATATGACTAACCATACCAACTGTTGGACTCAAGACATTAGATGCTATTTGGAAGAAGATAATTAAAAACCTATATGATTAGAAATAATCATCTAATAAATCAGGGGAGCATGCATTACGATTTTTTACAAACATTGGTTTCAGATCGATGTTTATATATGATGGTGTCGACACGTTAAAATGTTAATGAAATAAGTTTAAGATATATGAAGTGTAAGAGCAAGCCATGGGTTTGAAACCAGAACAGAAGTTAACAAATCTTTTTTTCTTAAGGGCTGAAATGTAAACATGTGGGGCTTTGTAAGCCAGATGGTTTCTATTGCAGTGACTCATGTCTGCATGGCAGTACTAAAGCGGCCATAGCGAGGATGTAAACTAATGGAGATGGCTGTCTTCCAATAAAACTTTATTTATAAAAGTAGAAAGGAGGCCAGAGTGAGTCTGCAGATGCTGGGTGCTGACCCCTGAGAGAGAACATCAAGGAGCGGAAACAGTATGCCAATGACAGTGGCTTTCTGGAACTGAGAAAGCTGATTCTTATCTGTTTTGTGGTTTCCTCATAAGGAGGCAGTGCTAACAGATTTTCAGGTATCCATGATTTTCTCGGGAGATTAATTTGAGCTCAGCGATGATTGACATAAAAGGAGGAAATAAAATGAGCCTCTTTGTGAAATAAATGGCTGGGTTCTCAGAAGGAGAATCATTTCAATGAATTCTAGCGACAATACTTCTGGCCATTGTGTTCCTGGAGTGTGTTTAATACAGACATGTAAGTTGAGCTTCGTAGACAAAGCTTTCAGGAAGATGGAGTTACACGTTGAATGACTTCAGTTCACACTACAGTAGCTGTATAATAATCAGTGATGATGCACATGGGGTTTGCATGACGGTCTCTGTACTTTCTGTGTTAGCAATTCATCTTTACTCATTTTTTTCTATGTAGTATACAATTGCACAATAAATTCAGGGGGGAAAGTGAGATGACAGAAACCAAGGTGATTTCAGAGGGACTGGGAAAGTATGTGACTTTATTGGGGTTAACTGAGTTCAAACAATAACAAAGAGCAGTGGGTGCTAAGCATTTCGATAGGAAAATGAGTTGCATTGGGCAGGAATACCTGTTTTGGTAGATTTTTTTTTTTTTTTTTTTTTTTTGGTTTTTTCGAGACAGGGTTTCTCTGTGTAGCTTTGCGCCTTTCCTGGAACTCACTTGGTAGCCCAGGCTGGCCTCGAACTCGCAGAGATCCGCCTGCCTCTGCCTCCCGAGTGCTTTGGTAGATTGTTGTAGTTGAGGAAATCACTAACCTTTCTTCTTCTTCCTTTGAAATAAAACGACTTAATGCTTGTCACATGTAACAGATAGGAACTCCTCGGGACCACTTGGGCTCCCTGTCACGCAGATATTGAGTCAATTAGGAGCATAGAAGGCTTGCTGGGCAGAGGGAGCAGCTGTGAGGCTACTCTTCATGCAGCGTGGAGCAAAGAGCACCTGAGAGAAGAGTCCTGTGCTGGGTAGAAACTATGAACCATGCTGTGTCAAACCACCAGAACAGTGGCGGTAAGAAGAGTTGAGAAAGAAGCCAGAAAGGGGCCTATGAGAAGAGAAGAAAATCAGAATCTCATCACATTGTCCTCTGGCGGAAAGTTTCCCACTCTGTCCACTACACAGGGAGGACTCCTTTGGAAGCCACTCTCATGTTGACCTCATCTTTGGCCACTTCTTCCCGTGGACCGTGTGTCTCATGTGTGATTTGTCCCTACATCCCACTGGGCAGCACCTAGCCCACCGGGTAGAGCTGAGCTGCGTGGACACATAATCTTCTAATCTGTTTCACCTGTGTGCACTCCTTAAACCCGTCTCCCTCATTTCAACGTTTGGAAATAAGGGTCTCAGTGAGGTCCGTATAGACATCCCGACACATTCTGTGACAATGAATGAGGTGAAGACTTTCAGAAGAATGCTTCAAGATAGCTGGCTGAGGGTAATCGGCCCGTGGCCATTTGGGTGTCAAGCAGTTGCCACAAAGGCTTGGCCATTCTATAGATGTTGGAGCACAATGGTGGCTTCTGTGCTCTTGACCTCTTATGACAGCAAGATGACACGGCCTCGTGCTTTGTCTTTTTAGGTATCCACATCACAGAGAGAAAGGAAGGATGGAGAAGAAATGGGTTTCTCCTTGTGTGCCTCTTTTATAGGTGAGAGCTGGCTCAGTTGGTAAAGTGCTCGACTCTCAAGCACGAGGACTTGATTCCTAGAACCCATGTAAGAAAGTCTGGGTGTGGTGTGGTGCTCGCACCCCAGCACCGGGGGACCACACTTACACATCCGTGGGGCTCATTGACCAGCCAGCTTAGCCTGTGCAGTGGTCTCCAGTCTAATGAGCAACCCTGTCTCAAGCAATGAGATGAAAGATACTTGAACACTGACACCTGAGGTTAACCTTTGGCTTCCACACAACATATGCACACATGTGCATGCACAGCTGTGCATCCTCCTCCACACACACACACAACGAACACCTTGTGTGTCTATCCTTATCATTGATCAGGCATGGATACTATTCCTGCCAGGTCTGGCTTGGGTACTCTTTGTCTCCTCGTAACACTGTTGGGGAAATTTGTAATCGTGGCAGTGTTGGAAGGGGGTGGGGATTGTCTATAAAGGGTGACAATGCCCTTAAGAAACGTAATCTTCATATGAAACTGGGTTCATTTTTGTAAGAATGACTTGTTGTGAGGAGCATCTAGCCCCTTCTGTTTGTCTGTCTGTCCATAGTGACAGGCAGGGAGGGGGAGAGAAAATGGGGGAGGGTAGCTAGAGGAGAACCACAAGTGAAGGGAGAAATGAGAGGCTCTTCAAAGCAAGGAGAGCTTTGTTAAGGGGGGAGGGGCCAGTGGTCAAGATGGAAAAATGAGGGGAAGGAGCTCTGGGAACTCCGGGGGGTGGGAGGAGAAGGTTTACTTTCCAGACCAAGTAAATAGTGAAAAGAATCAGCAGATGTTTTGAGATGAGGATCAAAAACCACCAAGTCCACACAGGCTGCCAAATCCATATATGGAGTCACTGAAAAAGCAAAGTACAGAGAAAAGAAATGGACCAGAGATGGAGAGTTACATTGAAGGATCTTGAATATGAAGAATAAGGAAAAGGTTTTTTGTTTGTTTGTTTGTTTGTTTGTAAATTTAAAGTGGTTACTGGAAAAATACCCCCAAACAAAATACAACTAGGAAATTAAATCTGATAACCAAACAAAATGGAAATAAAACCAAATTTCTTAAGAGGAGAAAAGAAATTGGGCATGAAAAACTTTTTTTGTTGTTGTTGTTTTTTCCCCATTCTCCTGCTGTCTGAGAAATAACAGAGGATGTTTCTCAAAGCCCATGTTTCCCTTCCCTTGGACGAGAGAAGCTATGTGGCTGTTACACTATTCATAACATAAGGCTTTGTTTGCTTTATCATCCTCAGGATGAACAAATGGAAAATTGGTTTCTGAGATAGATTTCAAGTCAGTTCTGTTAGAATGCGTTCAGGACACATGCAGTATGTTTGTGATGTTAAGTTTTTGACATGACCTGAAAACCAAATCACCAAGCCTGCCTTAAACGGAAAGAATTGTAAGACAGACTTAAGAACCAAAAGGACACAGATTAAAAAATACTTTGAACTGCGAAATTGAGGTGAATGATGTGTGTGAACTTTTTCACTATTGGGGCAGCTGGTGAAACTTGAATAGGGGTCTGACTATTAGGTAATAATAATGTAATCAGGTTAAGCTGGTTTCCTGTTGCATATGCTGGCACTATAGATACCTCTTTGTTTGTTGGAAATAAGCTTCGGTGTTCAGGGATTGGAACAGCTAAGACATCAGGTAATGAACTTACCTCAAAGCAAAACAAGAAAACACCCAAATTCTTCGCATTGTTCTTGCAAAGTTTCTGTAGGTTTGTAATTATTTCAACATTAAAAAAATTTATATATGCATTTTCCAACCCAGCACCACCACT